AGCGCAAAAATGAAACGCTCCCAAATGATACGGATCGATATAAAGCAATACGTACCGTAGAACGAAAGCGATTTGTATCGGTTGGGATTGTTATGTCTCACTGAACGCAGCAAAAGTTATGATTGTCACAGGCGCAGAAGAGAAAAAACTCTCCCCTGTGTCACAGGACTATTTAAAAAAAATAGATAAACTAAGAAGTAATAAAATAGAGCACGAAGTACAGCCATAATGAAAGTAAAATTAGTATTAATTCAATTAGTTAATATAAAAAAAAATATAGAAATCATACTAACGTTGAAAGATGGGGATGAGTTTAATGCTAATTTTACAAAAAAGATTCACAAAAAAAAACACTTTTTATAAAAATGGTTATAATTGTGTTGTCTGTAAAAATATTTGAGTTTCTAACCTACATATTTATTATAAGGATACTATAAATTTGCTTTAATTTCATCAAGGCAATTAAGAATTTTCTTCGGCCAATTCAAATCGCAGTGTAAAAGTAATCGTTTTTTGTATATATTATTTTATATTCTTCGTGGTATCTATTAATGAAATCAAGCATTTTCAAAGCCTCATCATCTTCCATTATTTCCATTTTGTGTATTGCAATTTTACAAATGAATGAATCAATGACACAATGACAGTCAACATCACTCAAAATTATAAAAATTAAACATTTTAAGGTTAAGTAATGGTTTAAGCTGAAAAATTTCTGGGCTTAGTAAAGTGATTCTTAACGCCTTGATAAGTGGAACTTTAATAACGGTGCAAACGGTTATGCCTTCTTAAGTGTCACTTAGATGCTAAGTAAAAGCGGTGCGAATGGCCCATAATGAACTATTAGATTTACTTAAAATATACATTTAATGGAATTTTGTATTGTGAAATAAAATTAACGTGATTTTTTAATATCAAACAGATGCCACGACATTTTATGTAAAGAGAAGGACCTTTTGTAGAATATTTCGTTAGCGTTTATTTACTACGGACTTTTCAGCAAAAGACTACAGTAAAATGTTGAAATAGAATATTGTTAATAGAGCAAGAAATGGTACTCATTGTCTACGAGTATTATAAAAAAGCATGTGCGCAGGCGAATATGGCAAATCAAACCTTGTTAGTTGAACATTATATTTTTTCTACGGCTATTACATAATATTAAAAATTAGTCAAAATGAAAAAAATGCTGTTTCGTATTGTAACCTCAGCTTCTTTCTTTAGGAATATTAATTAATATAGAGGATGAGTCACATAAAACTCTAGAAATTCATATGTCTGAAACCAGATAACATTTTAAAATTTAAACCTATTAAAAGTCATTTGGTCGCTAGGGGTGGGTGATTATCGAAATAAATGATCGATCATTGAAAATAATCGATTATTTTTTTGTTGTATTTCCTTTAAAATCGACTATTTGATTATCTTTGAAAAATCAAAAATAATCGATTAATTAAAAAGCCAATTAACCGATAAATCAGTATTTACAAAAAATAATAAAAGAATTATCGTTTATTTTAAATAATCGATTTTTTTCAAATAATCCATTTTTTTTTCGTCTATTGAAACAGATTATTCGATAATCTTTGAAAAATAATCGATTAATCAAAAATAATCGATTAATTAAAAAGTCGATTAACTGATAAATCGATTTTCAAAAACCCGAATTATAGAATATTTTAAATAATCGATTATTTTTGATCAATCGATTATTATCAATTATTTATTTTTATTGTATTTCCTTTAAAATCGATAATTCGATTATCTTTGAAATACCGAAAATAATCGATTATTCCAAAATAATCGCTAATCGAAAATAACCAAATAATTAAGGAACCGATTCTACGATAAATCTATTTTCCAAAAAAATAACCGAATTATCGATTATTTTCTAATAATCCTGTTCATATTTCCTTTAAAATTGATTATTCTATTATTTTTGAGGAATCTAAAATAATCGATAAATCGAAAATAATCGATTATTAAAAAGCTGATTAACCGATAAATCGATAATTCTAAAAAATATCGGTTATAAATAATAATCGATTATATTCGATCAATCGATTATTTTCATATAATACCTTTGAAAAATCGAAAATAATGGATTAATCGATTAATCTAAAATAATCGATTAATTAAAAAACCGATTAAACGATAAATAGATTTTTCAAAAAAAAAATCGATTATTTTTAATCAATCGATTATTTTGAATAAATCTGCTTTCTTATTGTATTTCCTTTAAAATCGATTATTACATTATCTTAAAAAACGAAAATAATTCATTAAAAATAACGGATAAATCGATTTTCATAAAAAAAATCAGAATAATCGATAAATCGATTATTTTTGCAACCCCTATCGGTCGCTTGCTTTTATCCGAGCATTTCGCACCAAAATTAAGAGATTCAGATTTTTTGATCCCGTTATCTTTGAAACCGCATTCGATTGTATAATAAATAATAAATATTCCCATAACTTTAGTATTTTTTTGCTTATACTAGATCATATTGTGCGTTTTACTTTTTTTTAAAAGTTAAGATTCAAATGTCACTATCGATTTGACCGCAAATAAAATGAACCTTGAAATTTTAAGTAGGTCATCCTGTATTTCATCTAATATTCTTATAAAAATATCTTATAAAAATAAAATTTTGCTAGCAACTATCCTTCTTTACTTCTTATTTATCTACCAAAAAGGGCTAAAACCCCCTTTAGTAAATATTCTTATAAAACTACTTTTTAAAAACAAAATTTCGTTAGCAACAATGCCTATTTACTTCTTATTTAAATTAAATATTCAAAATTTTACCCTTTTGTAAATGTATGTAATATGAAATCTGTTTTCTGAAATATGTATTTGATGCTTAATATTTATTAAAACCCCTTAATGCGGATCTGAAGTATTCAGCACAAAGGATCATGGCGCTTTATGTCAAAACGTTAATAAATATTTACCGCTGAAAACGAATATATTTTCATAACATATCTTTCATAACATTGGTACTTGTATTATAAGTATATACATCGTGGCATTTTGAACTTAAAATTGAATAACTAGAATACTTTAAATTGTTAAAACACCAACAAATAAATCAAAAAACAGCTGTCAATGGTGAACTAAGCGTTGAATGGAAAAATCGGAGCAATTCGGGTGGCGTCGTGCAAACAATGATTTTCAATTGGTGGGTTACTTGGGGTTAAAATAGATAACATGCGCAGTGTGCAATGTTACATCTTCGGTCTCTTTAATCTAAGCAGTTGAATAAGGAAATAATAACCTGTCTGGTTCTGACACCTGCAATGAAATTTTTGAAAATGTCAAAAAAATTGCTAAAATTAACCTATTTTCTCAAGGCTAAAACTTTCAGAAAATATACTTTAAACAGAAAGGGACCAAAACTGTTTTGTTCAAAATTAAGCCCTTATTTCAATCATTCAGATTGTGTTTTATAGTACGCAGACACAGCTGTCGCATGGTTGCCGCATTAGAAAGAACGATACGGCTGCTAATTTGAGTGGGGATAATTTCATTTTTTGGGAGCACTGAGATTTTTGAAAGGTAACACATTCGCATAAATTATTCTTTTAACGAATTATTAATATAACACATTTAGAAGTGATACCATTCAATTTGGTGGCCATTTTGACAGCTGACAGAACATTTTCAAAAAAATATTCGTATCAAAAATTGTTCAATAAATTCGAATTTTCAATAAAAAATGGCGTTTTTTTAAATAAAAGATAAATTGCGATTTACTGATATTTCCAGAATAACAGGAAGTACGTCATGACGTCATAGAGTAATTAAACTCCAAACTTTAAAAAAAAAAATCTTACCGATATTTCAATTAAAAACGAAGATAACAGGTAGCAAAACTTTTAAGAAGCCCTCCCTGTATACTAGCCTGGCGGGCACTAGCAATTAGGCATTCCAAACAAATGAATTACCAGTGGGCAGGTTTGGTATATCTAAGGGTGGCGACATATATAGTGTATTCTATCTACTTTACGTAAAATCATGAATAATGGATTACATTTAAATATTTTATGTCAAACACAATAAAAATAATATTTAAAAACCTACCTATACATTTCTTCATAAATTGACAGGCTTGGCGACTACTACTTCGAATAAAAATAGCGTCCAAGTTGCAAGACTATGTCGCTACCCCCTTAGATATACAAGAATTTCCCACTGGCACATAATGTTTGGCAGGTCGTTGGAATGCCTAATTACCAGAATAGCCTGGCAGTTGTTAATAAGACTCAAAGAATATTTCCTGAAAGTTTTAGCCTTGTAGAAACACGTTAATTTTAACAATTTTTTTGACATTTTCAAAAATTTAAATATAGATGTCGCAATCCTGCCAGATCATTATTTCCTTATTCAACTAATATTATATTATTAATCTACAAATTTTTAGCTTTATGTTCAACACGTTACTCAAGATAACCAGCTCTTGGTCTAGTACATCCAATAAATCTATGACAATTAGACTTATTTTTAACCGACTTCAAAAAAGGAGGTTATCAATTCGTCGCGATATTTTTTTTTTATGTATGTTCAGCGATTATTCTTTAACACGGTGTCCGATTTCAATAGTTCTTTTTTTGTTAGAAAGGGGGTATTTCAGGGGTGGTGGTCCCATATAAATTTAGTCAAAATCTAATAATTGTATCCATGAGAAAATCCTCAAACTCTTCATTTTTTATGTATGTTTAGCGATAATGCTTTACCACCTTGTCCGATTTATACGATTCTTTTTTTGTTAGTAAGGGGGTACCTCAGGGGTGGTCTTATATAAATTTGGTTAAGATGTGGTGATGGCATCTGCACGTTTTTGAAGTCGGTTTTTTAAATTTGTAATACTTGTGTAAATATTCCAACGACTTTATGTACGAGTATATCTGACAATAAGTTTAGTACATACCTACAATACCTAATACTACATAACTCAAAAAATTCTTATAGTTAAATGATAAGTTTTTATATTTTTTAGGGAGCTGATAATAGGCAACATGTCCTTAACCCACCAAAGCAACATTATTAACTCAATGGGCAACCACCAAGGAGGTCTAGACATGGCAGCTTTCCAGACCGCTACCAAACTCTTTGACCCGAACTGTACCATAACGTCTTGTTACTCTGACTACCAAGTAGCCTAAATAATTGTGATTTCTATTGAATAAAAAAAACTTTTCGTACTGCTGTAAATTTTTGTATAAAGAAATACTAGATGTGTAATATGTTCCTTTTTTTTAATAAAGATTTTTAAAAACTGATGTAGGCATGTTTATTTTAAATTTTAAATAATTTTAAATTGTTTATATAGTCAAAGTTATACCTGAAGCATAATTAAGTGTAAAATGTTTAGTGAAATGAAATAGGATCATGCCCGCCTTGAAACATTTATTTATCAAATAGTATATTGATTATAAATGAAAATCACTTTACATTTTAATTAACTATGTAAGAAAATCGAGAACTTTTGGCACGAATAAATAAGTTTTTATAAAAAATCAAGGTCAAATTAACCAACAAACTTAAGGCCTCGTTCAAACACAGCGGATGCGAACCGCGCGGATTCCGCTGTGTCTGAACGAGCTCTAATACCCTAGCCGCCCTAGCAGGTAGAGAGTCAGTTTCAAATTAATTTTCGCGCGCCTGTCATTTGTCACCTATAAGTATCATATTTGTTTATTTACATGTGTTTGTTTTGGGCGGATTTTGTATTTGTGATGTTTTTAACTGTTTTTAGATAATATTCTCATTGTAATAGTGTTTTTGAGTTTAATTTAGTGTTAATTTAATTTTAGTTTTTGTGCTTTCGTCATAAATATAATATTTATCAAGTATATGATTTAATTTGTTGGAAATATTCACCTATTGGTTGCTACAAAAACAACTAGAAATATGTATTTACTAAACCCAGGACATGTTTTATTATGTGATTTAAAGGACATTTCAGGTACCAAACGTTTATTATTGATGAACTTATTTAAAAATCTTACTATCCTTGTATACTTTGTATACATGTAAATGGTAATAAAACCGTCACAAATCAGATTACAGTTTGATTCTAAACAAAGTTTTGCAAAATTTCAATACTGTGAATTTGTAGATATCCATTTATCGTAAGAAACAACATTTTACGACTTGAACTTGGAAAATAATGAATACTTCAGTTTTGATTTTGACAATAACACCATAAAGATTGCAATTTGCTGAGGGCTTTTTCGCAGATTTCATTTTTAATATAAACACTATCACATACTATAAGAAATAAACAAATTTAAAGCTAAAAAGTAAGAAAAAAATAAATGAACTGAAGTTTAAAAAAAATCAATATAATAAATTGGTTTTATAAAAAAATCCTTAAATAAATATAGAGTATGATTACATATTACCAGACCCAAATAATGATTCTTAAATAAAAGGTCTTATCCACTTCTTCAAGAGTTAAAATCCGATACGTAGCGCAATTTTGCTACTTCTGGCAACACTGAACGATATCCTACTTATAGGGACCTTCTACAAATTTCCTCCAGAGGGCGTATCACTTAGCTTGAATCACGAATAAAGATCCTTTCAATTATATCTTCTCAAGGAAGTGTAGGATTTGGAGTGGCTTCAAGTTAGGTAAATCTCCCTCTTCTATTTGATATGCTCCTAGGTATAGTGCCCTTGGAGTCTGAAGTGCTACACATTTAGTTAGAATGTGAATGAAGATTTTTTCCTCCTCCTCACAAAATGCACTATCTTCTACTACTCTCAGTTTACTAAGGTGTCATTTTAGTTGGCAATGTCCAGTAAGGATCCCTGTTACAAGTGTTCTCACTACTAGAAAAATGTATATTATGATAACAGCTTAAAATACAATCTGGCTAATGTGGAACACCCCGAAAGCCTTGCCAGACTCGTCTAATGACCGTCAGACGCGCTAAATTTGGCACGTTCGATTACTCTTCCTCTCCTCGTTTAACTACCTGGCTTGTCAGGTCCGACCAAAATACGGCTTTATAACCGAAACAGAAACCAAATTTCGGCTCCTTTCTTAGTTTCGGCCGAAACAGAAACAAGAACTTTCCTTTAAGGCAATCTCTTATTGAAATTTGCAATATCTCATTGTAATCCTTGTTTTAGACTAATTAACTAGTATTATAAATTTTAGCTACATTTACTTATTACCTGTTTATTTATGTGATCAAAAGAAGCCATTAATAAATTTATTGACATGTTCACTTGAAACAAAGCAGAGAAGTTTGTGTGTACGTGCACTGTGTAGGAATGGCACCCGGTACAGTCGCCATTGTGCCGGACACAACCAATTGTGATACGAAAATTTTTAAAAGTAGTTTCGCTGTCGGCTGCAGTTTCGGCCAGTTTTCCGCCGAAACTATTATTTAAAGCCAAAGTTGGCCGAAACCGTAACCGAACCTTCGGTCGGACACTATTTGTGAGTCTGGCAGGCCTCCGTAATTGTAATTGTAATTGTCAGCCAGACGTGTATTTTCACTTACGAATATTTTGAAATTTATCCTAAGTAGATGGATAATGTTCTTAAAATATGCGTGAGTGTGCAAAAATTTACTGATAATAATTTAGGCACGTTTGGTATTGGGTAAGAAAGTTTTACACCAAAATATCCAAATTTCAAAACTTGACAGACATGCATTAAAACGACTGAAATCAAATTTTCAAAGGTAGCCATACCACAGAATATAAAACATATGTTTTATATGCTGTGGCCATACCATGATTATTTGTCATATTTGAAGTCGTTTAGTTGACGCGAAAAACCTAATTATTATTTTACATAAAATAAATGTAGTGTATTTCTACCTAGTTATAATTGGTATTAAATAAAATATTAACCACTGAAATGGAAAATTTTTTATATGCATCAAAAAAATGTTTAGTATAATTTCGTTCAGGGTACCCACCAAAAGAAAAATTTCCGGAAATTTTTCTGGTTGTCATGAAAGTGTTTTAAAATAACAGCAGTTGATTGGCTATAAAATGGAGGTGTAAAATTATAATTTAATCTATCACGTGACAAATTTTCAAACCCGGGAAAATAAAAGCAAAAATATTATATTTTTTCCATTTAGAAGATATTACCAGACTCATTAGCCAATTTCGTAAATCAGCCAGACTTATTATTATAAACAGTTCATGATTGTATCAATTTATATGCTCAATTTTCTGCCACACTCACTTTCCACTATCTGAGATAATCCAAACTGCTATTTTTATAAGCTTTATGTTCTAGTTTAGTAAATGTAAAATAGTTATGACTGGGAAAATAAGTGTCAGACTCAAAAATTTTGTTTTTTGTCACTAAGAGAACAGTTTATTTTTCATATACACCGACAGGAAAAATGAATACGAAAAAAATTCACTGCCTCCTGAACTAAATGTAAAATTGCAGAATCAATCAAATGGCACGGTTCTTTTTATTTTTTAATTTCTGTTCTGAAATCTGAAATGTTTGGGTGGATGTGCGATAAATGTTCGAATTATTTTTGGGGGGCTAATTTGGTTTTTGGGAGGACTTAGCCCCCCAAGCCCCCCCTTAACTTCGCCCATGCAACCTATAAAAGAACATTTTTTCTATTCATTATTTAAGTAATATGATAGGTATAAACATTTTATACGATAGTAGACAAAAGAAACTAAGAAAACTAATGAAACCTCTAAAATAAAATTTTGATGAAAATGCAAAACCAAATTAATTTTAAATCGATTTATTTTTAATTTTCTTAAAAACCGCTCGAGATAATTTTAATTATTATTAATTAGGCATTGAATTTGTATTTAAAGGGATTAAGTTTTTTAATATAGGTATCTAAAAATATCGGGAGTCTCATTTAAAATAGTAGTTTGTAATAACAAGAGTCGATGTGATGGTTACATCGCAGAAAGACTATATTTGAACACAACGCTGTGCGATACGGATAATCCACTCGAGTTGTACAATATATTTTTTCTACGACCCACTAACCAAAATCTACAAAATGTTAAAAATGAATTTAAGGGTTATTAAGATAAAAAGATTTTATAAATAAGTAGTCGTCAAACCTGAATTTAATCCTCAGACATTTTGCATGACAAATCAATACTCTACATCTACGCTATGGACGCAGCTAATTTTTCAGTACTTATAATTAAATTGGTTTTAGATAGTTCCTACAAATTTACGATTTGTTTTTAAATATAAATAAATAACTTGTGGAATGCTATTATGTATCAATTCTTCACAAGAATCACTCATTTTTAATTAATATATTTTTTTAATCTCAATAACTAAAAAATATACTGACAGGTTGACAGAATTATTACTTATTTAAAATTAAAATAGTAGTTTGTGAAACAAGAGTGGATATGGACAATTCACTCGAGTTGTACAGTATATTTTTCTACAAATTTAAAAAAATTATTTAGGTTATTGAGACAAAATTACTTATTTTAAAATAATTTATGGCTTTTACTAATTTATGAAATAAAATAATAATAAAAAACAAATTAATTTAATTACTCCCCAGCCCAGATTTGAACCTGGGCATCTCGCATGGAAGACAAACGCCGCGACCTCACGTCAGTTCAGTTACAACTGATAGTTCAGTCATAACTGTTGTTTTAAGTTTTACCCGACTAGCCCGTTATGACTCCCTTAACAACCATAAACAGAGGTATAACACTGCAGTATATCATAAAATAATTTATTTTATTAATTATACTCGTGACTAACTTTCATGGTAATTAAAGTGTTTTTGCAAGTACTAATAGTTGGTTGGCATAATTAATTAGAATAGTTATATTTTTTTTTTTCATTCATTTTTTTAAACAGTAAACAAGTATTGATACCTAAACCTCTCAATCAGTTCACTTTTCTCCCTTGTTGTGAAGGTTCATGACACTTTAACCACCTTTTCAATTGCTCACAACTATGTGCTTCCACATAGTTATATAAAAATGAAGCACCATCAACGATTTTTTCTAATGATTGATTTATCTGTAGAGATAATATTGCTTTCCTAGCCATTGTTGATCAAACCAGTACAAAACTTTTGAATTACCGCTATTTCAACATGGCGGCTGTGCCAAATCAAGTGACTATATGGTGGGTGATTTGCAAAAATAACAAAAGTGGGTTTTTTGTGTCAATACTATTTTTTAGTTTTACAATCGTATAGATGCAAACTTTTTTATGTTTTCTGGTTTAGAATGAATGATCTGAAACAAAGAGAAAAGTGAAAGAAAGAAAATGTTTTTCGTCGACACGAATCTAATCTGTCATAGCAATAAATAAAACAAATTGTTTCAAAAACATTTTACTACAGCTCAACTTTATTGAAGTCGTTCTCTCTGTCCACACATACATTCCTCATACCAAAAATCGATACGGTAACCCGATTTCATAGGTGTTTCGTATAGTCGATTCGCATGTGGTATATGTAGATGGAAATTTTTGCAACCAACATGGTGCCTACTATCCGTGACTCTTATGGGGTTTTTGATTGGTGGGACGAACCGTCCCTTCGTCAATATTGGTATTACTGGCGGTCTATCCACCTTCGGCGACAGTATGAATCTAAAAAATAATAGATAGTACAAGAATCAAAAATAGTTTTTTGATAAAATGGCGAGCAATAGACATCTTCATGTTATGGTAAATGTGATTAATCCGTTAGTTTGCATAAACACCAGTGATTATTCATAATTACCACTAAATTTAGAAAATGTGATAAAAATGGCTGCTTGCTGTGATGATAATCTCTTGTTTGTTCTTATCGTTGTTTGGGTATTTCTATTCCAATGGACTACAACAGCCAATTTTTTTTATTACTCCATTTTAAACTTTACTTATAAAGTACTTTAGTAAAAATTTGCTATTCAGATATCACTGGAGGCCAAAGAAATAATTGTTAAAGTTAAAAATTTTATGTCCCCTATGTCATGTCCCATGACGTATACCGATAAATCTAGAGAATTTTAATTTTGATGCCAAATGTCTACTTTTATTTTCCTATTAATCCCATCTCTGTGTGTATTGTAGGAAGAGTGAAATAGAAAAATAAATAGGTGTCTGTTCTTTATTTTAACAATTGTGGACAATGCATGAAGTGGTGTTGCAGCAAAATAAAAAGGGTAGCGTCAATTAAAATTTACTGATAATATATTTTAAATTTTTTCTTGTTGTCAATTTGTATTTTAAATAAAGAATAAGCTACCTATAATAAAAAATTTCAAGCCACTATTTTTTTTATTTCGATAGACAATTAGTTTTTATAAATTAAGACGAAAATAAAAAAATACATTTTAAATATTTAGATATGATTAGTATATGTATTTACCTGCAGTAAAATTGGTTTACAAACCTAAACCCTTGATTGAATTTAGGAGTTACCCTGCGCATTTAAAATATTTGCAATGTTACTATATTCCTTAATTAAACACGTGTCAAGAACTTCATATATATGTCAGTTTGACACTAAACTTAATTTACACAATTCTGTATATATATTTCTGTTTGTTAATCTTTAAACATGAATCCCGGATTTGTAAAAGTAGATTCATCTAATTTAAAAACGTCCACAAAAGTCAAATAAGATAAGACAACTAGAACAAAAATACAAACCACTGAAGTAATCTATACATTACGAAAAGAAAACACAAATTATTTAAAAATAATCGCCTTCGCGGTAGAATATTTGGCACCGGTGTAACAATGTGTAGTTATTCTATAGGATGAATTTGGGCGCAAAATTTCATCAAAAATGGTTTTTCAATCCCAATTTTCTTCTAAACACCATTATTGATTGTTTACGATGCGTTCTTATAGTCCTGTGACAAAGTCACTAAATTTTGCTCTCAATTAATTTAAAAAAATAATATTTCAATTAATTCCCGCCTGAGCACATAAGTGCGTGTTTTTCAACAATTGCGAGTACCCTTGTAGGTTAAAATATTCCTATATTTGCCGAAATCCGAATGGGCATTTTTAGAGTCGATTTCGTATGAATGATCTACTTTTATTTGTCAAGGTACTAGAAGGACATTTTTTTTTATTTTTAAATTGTAAACAGTCGGCTGTAGCAGTGGTATCCCCCACTCAGGTTTACCGAAAAGCATAAATTCATCTGGGAATTACGCGCTCTTGATTGCCGGCCGCCGTAAGCTCTTCTCTTCTTGATTGCCGACAGCCGAAAACTATTCGCCCTTCTATAGTGCCTAGTGAAATACTCCGTGAGTGCCGTGATTTCGAAAGATCATTGAATAACCCCGTTTATCTTCTAAAGTAGGAACCGTATATTATTTTTTTTATTGACCTTTATATAATTAGTTGGGACACCCGTGCGACAAATGAAAAATTTTAATTCATATCCAGGATATTTCATTTCATCCCTCAGTGGGAAACCGTTGGCATTTTTTTTTTGAGGTTGAACATAGGCTAGACTCTTAGTGCTCTCATTGTCAACGACTATATCCAATCTCTCTTAGAGATTAATTTATTATTTTATTTTCTTATTCCGAGGTTCGATCCGTTTCCGGATTAGAGTGATCTCTCTCCTGGCGACGTTATCTAATTTCCCAAAAAGACGTCTAAATTAATGTAAATTTCTTTTATTTTTTTTTATTTATTCAGCTGTATTTAAATAATTCCGTTCCAGTCCACAACTAATTATTGAACGAAGCCGATGATTTCTGTAAAATCAATTCACACACCGTCTTGATCGACTTTTGAGCAAATCTCAAAATAATTTTTACGTTAACCATCGCATTCTTGTTCCAAACACCGCGCTGAAAATTATCATTCCTCGTTCAACTTAATTGCCAGAGTGTCGATCGATCCGAACTAAGATAAAGGAACGTTCCAAAAACTTTGATTTCATTTGATTGCCGTCATATTTAAATAATTTATTTTTAATAAATTTTCCAAATACAAGGAGTCGTTAATATTAAATTAAGTTTTCATTTGAAATAATTTATTTTTAATCAATTTTCCGTATACAGGGAGTTTCATAATTCCCGGACCGCTTGGCCTCCTGTGCTAGCGAACCGTAATTATTTCTCAATATTTAAATAGTTTTCAATTGTAATAATTTATTTTTCATAAATTTTCCGGATACAGGGATCCATCAATATTTAAGTAGTTTTCAATTGTAATAATTTATTTTTCATAAATTTTCCCGATACAGGGATCCATCAATATTTAAATAGTTTTCAATTGTAATAATTTATTTTGAATACATTTTCCGACTACAGGGATCCATTAATATTTAATTAGTTTTCAAGTGTAATAATTTATTTTTAATAAATTTTCAGAATATAGGGAGCCGTTAATATTTAATTAGTTTTCAAGTGCAATAATTTATTTTTGATACATTTTCCGAATACAGGGAGCCGTTCATATTTAATTACTGTTGTATTTTTTTGTAAATATTATATTTTATTACCTATTCCTGTGTTTCTCTTACTGCTAGTTCTTAACCGTTCTCTTTCAGGGTACCGTATGGTACTAGGTGTAAAGGAGATAAGTGTTTTATTTTTATTTATTCTAGTATAGTGGCTACCCTAGCAGTGGAATTATTTTTACCTCAACTGAGTTTACCTTGAGTACACTCTGGTGTACCCCAGGATCGCAGAGCAAACTGCGATACCAAAACTGGCGCCTGAGCAACCCCTATTCGGTGATCATAGCGCCACACAGACTCGCTGTTTCACATTTAGGTGAACTAGAAGCCTGTCACAGTCCATTCCTTCTGTGTCATTCGTGCATAACACTGAATTGCATGATTTTCGGTCGGAAATACGATGGATTTTTAGCTGCATTCTTTTTGTACCCCAAACTTGTTGTTTAAATTTCAGATTACAATCTTAATTTAAAACAATTTCTGTAGACCGCCCCTGTTCAAGTAATTTGTGTCACACATTTAAAAAATGCATATTGATTGCCTTTCATTTGCTCTTCAAATTTCAAATAACTCATCTGATTTTATCCATGCCTGTAAACGAGTTCAAAGAGTCGCATATACACCTATATAATATATAACAAGAGTTAAAAATATTGCCTTCTCGAAAAGGGCTAAAGATTATGTATGCACTGGTTAAAAATAGAATCACGCCACATTCTTCAGCTCAAATGTAGCAGTGCTTGTCTCACTACCTCTCATAGAAGTTGAGAAATGATAATTCTTAAGAATATTCCAGAAGCAAGTTATTCCAGTTTCAGCTCGCGTAGCAACCGTCCAACAGAAAGGATGTATCGAAGACGACTCCTTATTCATGTTCAGTTAACCTAAAAGGTGAACGCACAGTGCCATGCACTTCATCAAGTAAGACGCTACTCTACTAACATGAAGTGAATAGACGAAATACGAAAGACAGTGTAGTTCTTGATGCCGGCTTTTAATTACATGCCATAACGTTCACATCCACAGCTGAAATACAGATCTACTTTGTCCAGAGTATCTGAGTGTAGAATTTCACTTCTAACTTAGACACATGTAATTTTGAAATTATTCACAAAACTGTACTAATTTTTCATATCATCCTGGATTATATCCAAGGTTTCTCGGTTCTGAAACTATAATAGACTTCCGTCTGATTACTCCGTAACTGAACATTCTTTATCTTGTCTTTTTTTTACCAAGTTCATGTCTATTGCAGCACTCATTGCACTGGCGATGCAAACACAATCTAAGTCCTTTGAGATGTTAGCTCTTTTAGAAGCTACACTAATTCTGTTACTCCAGGTTACAGATGGTGGTCTCACTATTGCTGTATACATTCATCGCAGAGTATTAGGGTAGGGTTACCTCCTCATCTTTTTCCTGCAATGTTCCTGCATACCATCAGGGCTTTTGAGGTTTTATTAATTACTTCCTACTCATGTGCGGAAGCGTTACCTTGAATGGGTCGCGCCTTGAATGGGACACGTTAAATGAAAACTGTAAACGTTTGGATATAGTTTTCGAACTTCCTCGGTAGGTGGTCTTAACCGTTAAGCAATCATACATGATATTTATGTGTGCATGTGATGGTGGTGGTTGTAAAGATTTTATAAAATTAACTCCTCAAAAAGTATTTTTAGGGCAGCAGCCCGGCTTAGCAGGTTAACTTCTGTGTATCAATAACTGCAGTTCAGTCAGACCGGACCGCGCGCAGTCAGTACTTGGATGCGTGACCATTTTAAGAAAAGTCGGCGTACATATAAACAAACTGCCTGCGTAGTTGTACACCACAGCTGGCAGGCATTATATCAATGAGTATAGCGTGAAATACAGCGTATATGTGCCATCTTTCGAAGGAGATGTAAAGCCCTCGGTTTCGAGTCCATAGGTGCTGGGTTCGTTAAAGATCACTACCTAAATAATTTCTGGCATTTGAGGGTAGTGTGCTCACCAGCGTCGGTGTTTAAACTCTCGTTAGAAATAAGCAGACATTAAATAAATAAAAAAAAGGAATTTTACAACCATTTTTTCATAGGTTGCTTGGTAAATACCTTTAATAAGAATTAAGGTTACATCTTGTTATAAAAATTTTATACTATTACCCAGTGTTTTAAGCAGAAATCGGTAATTTGAGTTTAGAGGTTAAGAAATAAATTGGCCACCATTTTCTTGAATGGGACAGTTTTAAGTTCCTTTGAGACATGGACCTGTATCTGTAACGTGTGAAGGGTGGGTTACCCCCCCCCCCCACGGCACTTAGGCCTCACTAAGCTCATTGTGCATCCTCCTAAGATGATAGGAACCTCCTAGCTCGTGAGCCAGCCTACAGATTTAATGTAATTGACAACGTCGCCAAGAGGTTCTTCTCTTATAACAGCCGGTGTTAGCCGATACTCGCCGAACACAAATCTTCTAATATATGAGAGCGTCGAGCAAATGTAAAGGATATGCTCGATGGTCTCATCTTCTTGTTCGCACCCTCTGCAGAGTGAGGATTCCTACAGCTCCATGATATGGAGATGTTTCCGTACTTGGCAATGACCAGTCAGAATGCCTGTAACTAAGCGCAGATTCAGTTAAGTATTTGTTTGCTGCAGTGTTGTCAGGATAACTTAAGAGCTCCCTGGCAACTCTGCAGTTTCTTGTTTCATCCCATCTTTCCTTGAATTTCACAAGGGAATGTTCTTTAATTAGGTCTGTCACTACCGATTTTGTCAGGCCAATAGAAGGGCTAGGTCCAAAAAGTATTTGGTTGGCTGCTTTCTTGGCTAGTGAATCGGTAAGACGGTTCCTTTCGATGTAGCGTGACTTTTGATCCATATTAAGGTGACCACATTGTTAATGGATACTTCGGCCAAAGCTTCATGACGTTCTAGTACTAACCCTGAGTAAATTCGTGGTCTGTTCAGGGTGAGTAGTGCTTGTCTGCTCTGTTTGAACTACATTAGCACTATTGCTCACACCCCATTTTATGTTCAGGTTTAAGTATCTGGAGTATATTCCACATCCTGAGCCTTGTTTTAATGTAATAAACACTGTTTGCTTGCAGAGTATATAGAATGGAACCAAGAATGAGTTTTTTAAATTTCAGTAGTACCACGCTCGGTTGTTCTATTCTATTGCCGTCAAGATAAGAACCCAGGTGATATCGTCAGCACGTGGTCTGAAACCTCTCGATTTTCGTTATTTGAATATTAGATTTCCTTATGGAGATGTTTATGGGAACATGGTCTATTTTGCGCCACAACTCTTGATGTATAGTTACTCCTGCCATTCTGTAGATACAACCATTTGCGATAAAATCTTCGTATTTTCAAAATTTACTCACGGTTTTGGCTTCTGTCTTTTAGGCGCCTGCGGAAACTCAGCTAATCGTTTGATCATGTATCGAATGAAATCCTCATGTATGTGAAGACGTTTATCGGAATATTTGTATGTGATAGGCTCCTTCTTTCTGGAGCAATCGTAGTAAATCTTGTGAATGCCCGTTATGAAATCTTGCCAAGGCATCACTTTTATGAGCTTTTCTAATATCGCCAGTTCCCTAAAAGAGAAACAATTAATACTTGATTCTTAATATTATTTCTCAAATAAGTTCTCACTCAGTTCCTTCTTGAGATAATACTCCTTTAATATGATTGGTACGTAAAAGATGGTGTCGATCAAAAAGTATTTCGTAAATTTCGCGTATGTAATCGTCGCTAATTTCAAATTGAGTCTTGTTAAATTCATTGAATGGCTGCTTGAAAAGCTGGAAGATTTCCTCGTTACCTTTAGCGATTTGCGTTCTTGCTGCCAAAACGTCTTTGATACAGAACGTATATTTCCTAAACTACAACAATGAAATATTAGGTAGACTCCAAAGTGGCAAAACGGAGTTAAGAACTGGAGTATTTAACAGGAATGTGAATAGTTAAAATATTAAAAAATCTAGGATTCAAAATCCTATTTTGCTCTTAGTTGCAGAGGAAGTGCCGTTAAAAGTTGTAAGTGTATTAAACAAAAATCTCGTAATATAAATTTGGTGATAACTTTTTAGAGTCTATACTGAAAACTACCAATTTTTTTTCCAAAACGACATTTTCTTTGTATATGAAATGAAGTTATGCTCTACAGTGATATGAGAGATGATTTGTTGACCTTACCACATATCCTTTCCACGTAGCCTGAATTTTAGCAGCGCATTGGTTGTAAAATTTGAAACAATTTTCATCGTAGAACTCTTGTAATTTATCTGGCAAATGGTATCTGAGCAGCCAACCTCTTACATATTTCTGAATTACGATAGCAGCATTCTTATCGTACTCTAATTTCACTCTCACTATCAGACCACGAAAGAAACTTTGAATTTTAGTAGCGGCCCAGTTGACTTTAGTTTGGAAGTCATTTTGCACTCTGAAAAATGTTTAATAAATTTATTTCTGCAGATAAGTAGCATTACTGAGGTAATTTAAATTGGTCTCTGCACCGAGAAGTTCTGTACTCCGACCTTTGCAAACTGTTTCATCATTATTTGTTAAAGCACTGTCTAGTTTGATTGCTTCTAATAACACTACAATCTCTACAGCAAAAGAAGTTCTGTATACTTTTTCTATTGGTTTTCCTTTTCCATGAGTAAGAATTCTCAGATTTGATCAATATATTATCACAACCGATGTACTAAAGTTATTTTATGTTAACGCTAGTTTGTCTAGTATCAGATTTGAATAATAGCTTACTGAATCAGTACGAATCGAGAGTTCTAGCTAGAACCATGATTATTTATAGGTCGCTGGTTTATATCTGATTCAAAAGACAATACACTTGTTGTGAAATAGATATTTTAGACCTTTTTGGGTAATTAAAGTTACAACAAATTACAAGTTCTTAAATGTTTCAGACGCGTTATCTTTCGTACTGATTCGGATAAGATCAGATAGAGAGCTGAGCTAAGATAAACTTGCAGTACCATTAGTTTTCTGATTTAATGGTTAAGACGATATGATTTCTAAGTCTACAATGAGCACTTCTAGTTACTCTATTATTTTTCCAATACCGACTGTGTATTCTGACGATGCACTGTTTACGAATTCTGGCCATTTCTGTTGTAGACATTTTAATTTGTTACAAAAAGGTCAAACATATTAGGAGTGCTTTAGTTTATTAAATTTTCAATTAAAAGTATAATTTATGGAAATTACTTGTATGACTCAAAGACGAGATTCTCCGTGTGTTGTGCTTCTTCATAGAAATGATAAATTGACGCCATTTGTATTCGATTTCAGTCCGACTTTTTGACAAAGCTTGACAATTTGACATTGAGGATTTCATGACACACGGTTCATAGACTGAAACGGTGGCCTCATTAGTTGCTAAGGACGGGGGCAGAGATAAGGGAGATAAAGATAGGAAACGCCCATAAGAAGCCAATGCTTAACAACGACCAGCTTATTAATTATTATTATTTATTAAAAAGAATACTACACACAGTCTATTATCGATTAATTATTGTAAATCTATATTTATGACAAATATTTTTTAATTTTTGATTGTTATTTGTAACATTGCATTTTTGTTTTTATTTTGGTATTTTATTTAAAAATGTTGAGTGCAAATTCAATAATGGGAATTCAGATATTTTTCTTCCTATATAAAATCTTCTTTCTAACGTTTTGAAGCCATTTTCTTGTTCTAAAACAATAAATAATACATAAACATCTACTTTGTGACAAAAGTTGATTACTATTTATATTACTTATGAATAGATCTTACCTACTTTGGTTAATTAAAGAACGCCACATTGGGGTCGTTCAATTTGTTCATGTGGCATGTGTTACTAATGCAATATATTTTCCGACTTAATGTAATATTACAAAATATAATTATTGTACTTAAATTTCACAAAAAAACAGCCACAAGTACTTCGTTTAGTTCATCTAGAGGATAACACAATCATGAACTCAAAATTTAAATTCAGGATTCTTCGATATACATAAAACTAACATTTATATTTACAAACTGTCTACTGCTGTCCACGTCTATTGTCTGTCTCAGTGTTGTCAACCGTACGATTTAAATCGTATTTATACGATTTTTTTAACTCTCTGTACGATGTACGATTGCATCAGTAAGATCGTACGTAAAAATACGATCTTCATTTTTTAGTAGGTTTATTTAAATATCTGCAACAACTTCAAAGCTTAATACAATAAAAATCAAAAACTACTTGCAAAGATTCATAGGCCGTTCGTAATTTCTGAAGGCAGTCATTTTCGTTCTGACTTATCGTGAGTTTGACCATGGTGATTTTATACACCGACTATTACGACATAAGAAAAGCTTGCAAGCAAAATTTCAATCACTTTTAAGTGATAGTCATTGATTACTTTAAATGTATTTTAAAGAAATACATTCGAAAAGTAGACACTATAAGCTTTAAAATGGTGTGCATTGAATAACAATATAATGAAATATGAGTTTTTAATTACTGCTTGTTTCAAAGATTTCTAGAACGCCAGGAAGATACTGGAAAAAAATTTCATTCGAGATATCTCAAGATCCCATTTAAAACAAAAATAGGATAAAAAACTATTAAAAGAAAAAAATATGAATTAATTACTATAAAGTGGTCCAAAATAGTGGGAAAACGCAACTTTGACCCCTTTTTCAATGTTCTTGACAGGAAATAACGGGCTTCAAGGCACATGGATCGATACCGATGGGTTTTCCCATTGTAATGAACTTTGAATCATTAAAAAATATCAATTTTTGACCAAGTTCTGAAACAATTTGTCCACCCGTTTACAAGCTAATCAGCATTGCTATAGAGATAAAGCAGGGGCTGAACGAGGGGACTTTTGATTGCGGTTATCTCGAAACCTGTCGAATTCCCGACAAAAATGATAGGGACCATTTTTGTAGATAATGATAAGATCTTTCTTTTTTATCTAAACAAAAATTCTCTAATTTGCATATTGTGGAAGATATTGGCGGGAAACCAGTTTTAGGGTCCATTTTGGGCCCTTTCCGATGCAGCAGAGTTGGTAAAACTTTTCGACCTTGGAAGCGACCGCCGAGACCTAAGAGTTGAGCCACAACGGAAATCTGGACCGACTTAATGACAGTTTTGCATATTTTCAGGTCTTCAGTTACTGGACTATAGCTTTTATCGCGGGCTTTGAGCGGCGACCGAATCAAGAAATTTCATAACACCGTAACGAAAATAAACCTAACACTCCCCACTCCGACCGGCACAGCAGTGCGGCCTTAAATCCATGGAAGGTTATATTCGACCCTATTCGTATTAGTATGAAGGGGAGTTAAATATACGTCTGCGGACTGGAACATTTATGCAATACAAGAACTAGAATAGTTTCTAATAAATTGGTATCACAAATGTTCCCGGCTGGCGTAAATATTATAGTTGGAGAGCTAGTAACACAAATTTCATTAAGTGTTTGATGCACTTTGAAATTTTGTAATTTGAAATCATTTGGATGGAAAAGCAGGTATACCTGTGTTGGCTAGCCAACATAAAAATGAGTCTCATTTACTATAGAAAGAGATTTTAAATTCATATTTCGGAATATAATAAAAAAATACATTTATTTAGATGACTTATGTTTAAACTTTTAATCTCTCAAGATTAAAAATTAATACAATTAAGCAATAATTATACTTTTATAGTTTTTAAATCATATATTTATGTGATTCCATTAAATTACAATATAGGTATCATATGACATGATAAAATTTTTCTTAAATATTTGTAATAAATTGTTATATATTATTATAAGCGATTCCAAACGTCTATTAATAATGTGCTTGGTGGTGCAAAGCGTACAGTGGTCATAATTTGGATAGTGGGATAGCAAGTTGGTGGTTCGAGCCCCGAAACTTTTAGTTTTTGGTTTTTTTTTCTTAAAAGTAATTTAAAATATTTAGTTTTTAAAAAGTATATACTTATTCAATGCATAGTGGCGCATAACGAGGTTCATTCGAGTTCAGCTAATTTTAAAAATGCAAGCTACCAGTGGAGGCTTCGTTTATTTAAATTCAAAAAAATAAGAATAGTATATTACAAGTGTGGAAAGTGACATTTCTCACACGAGTGGGAAATATTGTCGCACGAGGCACAAGCCGAGTGCGACTATCACACGAGTGTGGAAAATCACTGAATAAGTATATACTTTCTAAAAACTAAACATTTTAAATTACCAAGACTGTGAAATAATAAAATAATAATATTGTGTCAATAATAAAAATAACTGAATAACCTACATGTATTGTAAGAAATTAAAAATAATTTAAACAATATTAACTTCTCATTTAATTAATAAAAGAAAAAAATTGTTTTCTTATCGGTCACCACGCTCAAAAAGTGAATTAATATCAGAGAAAAAACTTGAATTAATATCAAAGAAAAAAAAATACTGTATAAATAAAATAAATAATTATAATTGCATAAGTTGATAAAAATGCTATGCAATAGCTTTACCGCGGCAGCGATAATTATTTACTACTTTATTCGATTCTTTGATTCTTTTTCTTTTTTTTGTTATAAAGAGGGTACCTCCGGTGGTCTCATATAAATTTGGTCAAGATCTAATAATGGGGTCCATGAGAAAATCATCAAATTCTTAATTTTTTATGTATTTTCAGCGATAAATTCTTTACCACGTTGTTCGATTTCTAAGATTCTTTTTTTGTTAGAAAGGGGATACCTCGGGAGTGGTTGATCTGTGAGAAAAAAAAACTCAATTTTTAAGGGCATCTCCACGATTTTGAAGTCGGTTTTTAAAATTACTTTTACAACTTGTATTTTTGAACTCATACTACTAAGAGGGAAAGCCCACTCACGCGACACGTCGCGCGCGACCTGCCGCGTGCGATTTTTTAGGTGCTTTCCCTCTTACACTACCTCTAATTTTAAATGATCTTCACAAATAGTAAACACTACCTCTAACGTTTTAATATTCAATGTTACCGCATCTTTGAAAATAGATCACACGACGTATGCTTAATCTCCGTACCTGAGGAGACAGAGAGTAGAACCGTGCATACTTTCCAAAGACATCAAACATCCTGGATATCGCACATGACTCTTGATTCTATGGTGATTATCTAAACAATTGCTTTTTTTTTCTCCCAGGGCCCCTTTCAAGCTAATACCTGCTCTATTAATAATTTACTACCGAACGTGAAGCTCTGACTGTAGTGTGGATCATGAAGAAATTCCGAGAATATCTGAATACCACTACCACCGGAAAAACTAAAAATAGCGTATACTGTTCGACGTTCCTTACAACCTGGCATCGAAATTTGCCAGGAAAATAAGGCGAAAATTTGAGAAAAATTTTGTTTAAAAAAGAAGGTAGAGCACAAACAACTTAAGAAAATATCTCTATCGGACGGTATAGTGGTTTTTCATCAAAACTACGGTGGTGGCATGGTATTCGACATGACTTCCAAAAAATTAAAATGTTCTCTGTCGAATATCTCTCACTAGTTAAAATATCTTGCACTTATGTTCATAATACTGAAATATCTTTTCGAAGTATTGGGATAAAATCAAACAAATATTGGATTAAAATTAGTCATATAATTTGTTGTATGTACATAATTAATTCTTGTACAGTAATTAAATAAATATTACATCTAAGTACACTTCTGTAGGTTAACTAAGACTAAAATATATTATAAGTTATCTGTTTATAAAATTGAAACAAAAATTTTAAAGAATTAGAAATTTCGAAAATTTGTAATTTCATAAAAAAAAAATTGGAAAATCTGGTCTCGAAATGAAATGGTACAAAAGTAAAAAAGGGTTTAATTTTTGTATGATTTATGAACAGAAAACTTAAATCACTTTTAACTGTAAACAAAAAAGAAAATTAACATTTACAAAATAAAACTAACAAACGTTTCGAATATTTTTCATAAAAAAATACTACTTGAATACTGCAAAAAAATTTCGTTAGACATTAGACAAACATCATGTTCGTTTATATATAATATATATTTAATATTAATTAAATAAAACTTATTTATATTATCAGTTATTTAAAAAGTCTATGTAATAGTGTAATAATCGGTATTATTGATTATAATTAAAATTAAATAAAATTTACTAGACATATAATTTTCTAAAAAAATATTTCAGAACTAAATGTCTAATTTTGCGAATACAATTTATTTAATTAATTTTAATTATAATCAATAATTTATCGATTATTATAATAGGAATAAGGTTATCAGAATAGAAATATGGAAAAAATAGAACTTATCACAATCAAATCAAAACAATTTTATATGCTAAATATTAATCTAGAAAATTCAGTGTTTTGGTATTAAACCTATTGTTCTTAACATTAATGGATGCTACT